AACGTGCACGTATTTTTTACAGGTGCACGCATTTTTTGCATGTATACACGCATATTTATTTAATTTTTTACGCGTGATGATTTGCAGATATCCAGGATCATAATTCGTCTGAACGAAATTAAACGATCCAAAATGATAAAGCGTTTCAAATTTTATCACTGCAATAAAGTGCTGGAATCGGCGGTGGATCTAAAAAATCGGCCTCAACTTTGGGAGAAAGTGGCTGATGTGCAGGTAAAACTGCTAAGATCCCAAAAAGAATTTGTGAATTAGATATTTACAAGATAAATACTAAAACCCAAACATAAATTTGTAGTTTTTGGTTGTAAGTTAGCACGAAGATTTCACCGTAGCAAAATAATTTTACAGAACTGAATTCCCTCGTTCAGCCTGATGGATTTGGCATTAGTTATTGGTACATTTTCCTAGTTCCAAACAGTTATCACAAGTTTGACAATGGAGAACCCAGTTTCCTTCTTCCTCCAACATTCATTTTGGTGATGCACTCGTTCAAACAATCAAACAGTCTTCTGTTTGTCTGCTGAGTAATTTGCGAAATTGAGTATTATTGGCTATTTCACTAAATCCTACTTTTGGCAGGGCATGCCCAGTCCAGCTGTATTCCCACTCACAAATCATGAAAAATGAGGGTTTTCTTTTTGATTTATTTGAAGCAAAGGTATTCATTTGCTGTTTTCAGCATTCACTCCACGATAGGGTTTTTTTTAGAGTCAAAGGACAGGGGTTGGTGTGATTTTTGTTCATCATTGTTTGTTTAGGTTAGTCAGGGAAGCGGTGAAATCGATGTACAGCTGCCATTACCAGTAGTTACATGCAATGTGGTACTGGAAATGGCCGAATTTCATGAAATTGCAACAGCAAGCACATCGGACGCACCGGAATTGGTCCACTGTCCACGATGCTCCACAGCAGTGCCACCAAATCCAGGGATTTGCTCGAATTGCGGCGAAAATGTTTTCCAATGCATAAAATGTCGCGCGATTAATTACGATGAAAAGGTTTTTGCTCTGCTTTATCTCTAAATAAAAAACCGAAAATCATTACAGTCCACCGTCATTAGAGATAAAATGTGGAGGTTACCAATTAAACCTCGAAAAAGAGGTCTCTTCGGCCACTCCTTCAGCATCTCTTAATGATTTACTTTTTAGGAACCGTTTCTGTGTAATTCATGTGGATTTTGCAAATATGCACGTCTGGAGGCAGTGATTGTCGGCCGCTCAACACCATCTGTACAGACTATTGAGGACGACAGGGAACGAGGAACGGTAAATATTTTGCTGAATTAAAATTATCAAAACACGTTGTAGATGAATCGGCACTGTTCAGAAAAACAGGAAATGTTGCCAGCGGCATTAGCTGAAAATATGTGTGGGTATATCGGAATCGTGCAAATCTAAAACCAACTTAAGTTACATATTTTTTTGATCTGCATATTTACAAATAATCGCCAAAGTCAGCCAGCTGTAACGCCTAACCCACTGGCAGTCCATTACCGATTTTACTGGAAACCCCCTAGCAGATTGCAGCTTCCAAGTTAACACTGGAAGTGCAGATGACAGAGTGCGAAGATGTAGGAGAAAGTAGTAGTGTAGATTGAAGAAGTTTTGGGCGAAATAAGACGTTTCGGTCCATTAAATCATATAATGGTTGGAGCAGATATGAATTGCATGTTATAATATCACACGACTTTTAAGCGTATATATGCCAACCTTGCTGAGAGCTGTTTGAATAGTCATTTGTATTCTGGTAAGTATGATTCACTGTTGCTCGATACTGGCAACCACAGCACGAGCAAAATATTCTGCTCATTGGACTTTACTTTTTCGCATGGTCATAAAAATGTAACACCGCGTATCTGATAAAGTGTTTTGATGTTTTTTTTTTTATTTATTTATGATTATTTACTTGTGATTATTTATTAATGATTGCTTATTAATAATTTTTTATTTATGATTATATTTATTTATGATTGTTTGTGATACCCAATGAACTTTTGTTTTATCGCTCCTTCTTTCCCCCACTCTGGGTGTACAAAATTTTCGTCTTTCTCTGTTTTACACTTAGCTGGAAAAGCCAACATAAAAAACTATTCGCCGAAGCGAAGTTAGTGAGATACAAATGTTGA